CTGGGGTTTATATCTATTCTATAGTCTCAATAAGATATATCCCAAAATTTAAAATCTACATTAACTTTGACTTTATTATACCATAAATATCCATGCCAACTAAACCTCAGGTCATGACCTTCCAATTATTCCTGACAAATAATCTTTTATTTGTCAGCATTATCCATTATTTTATCCAAACCAAACAGCAGGCTGTAAAATACAAATAATAATAATAATAAACTTTATTTCTACCCCGCCACCATCTCCCCGATGGGGACTCGGGGCGGCTTACATGAGGCCAAGCCCAAACAACAAAGTACAACAGAATAAAACCGAAAACGCAAAGCGAAAACACAGACAATAAACAACATCATTATTACATAAACATGTGAATGCACAACGATATAAACTTACAATAAACACAATCACAGTGACAATGGGTGGGCTACATGCAATTAATAAAAGAAAAACTAATTAAAAACTAATTAAAAACTCGGGTGAGATAAAGGAAAAGCAGGTTATTTGCGGAGGAGGGCTTGTTATAGCGGGGTTGTGGAATCAAGCTTTCCCACAAGGGGGGGGGGGACGGACACGTATACTCCAATGACAGATCGTTGAGGCTAGGCAATAGTGTGAGGTTGTATACCTACTCACCAAAGGCGCAGCGGAAGAGCCAGGTTTTAAGGTTCTTTTTAAAGGTTTCTAGGGTAGGGACTTTCCTAATCTCTCCAGGTAATGAGTTCCACTACTGTGTAAATAATATAGAATGACTATTTAGCATTATTATTATTACAATCATCATTATTATTTATTTTACTTATACTCCACTTTTCTCCCCATGGGGACTCAAGGCAGCTAACAATCACACATTTTGGTCACATTTTCAAACCAAGCAAATACAAAAAAACAAAAACAAAACAAAAACAATGAAATAATACAGTGTGTATTTAGGTTAAAATACAGATTGAAATATAATAAATGCACTTAAAATAACTTTTAAAATTTGCGATTCCTCCCAGAATTCCACCTACACCTTCCCAACTTGCATTAAAAAACGATGGAGCCATTTCTGCTGTTTTAAGACATCTTACTGACCTGATAACATCTTCGAATTGTACTATGCTCTTTGTGAGTCTGTGTGCCTGTGTGTGTACCACCCTTAATACATCTATTTGGATTTCTCAAATTATGAAGTACTCTGCCTGATTAGTGCTTGGATGGGAGGTCACAAGAGTCTCTAGGTAGAAGTAGGAAAGAGGTGATGGTAGTTGGAACTGAATGCATGGACCAGCAGATTGACTCAATGGAAGGCAGTTTTCTATGTTTCTCTTTCTCTGTGTCTTTGCCTGCACTCAAAACTACCAAGAGAAATTAATACGTAGTTATTCCCTAGTCAAGAGGATGCACATGTGATTTCTGAGCCCAATGTAATAGTAGGAAACAGAGTTAAAAGAGATGGGGCAATTGCTGCTATACTCTGCAGCCACCAGATCTGGGATAAGTAGCATGAACAGTGGACACATGGGACACAGGCCTCAGCCACAAGATTAAGACAGAATTTACATTCCTACTGCTTGGAAAATACCCCAGAGAGTTACCATTGCCCCATAGTCTGGCACCACATACATTGTCTAAAAGAGGGGGGGGGGGGGAATCTGCTTTTTATATAACACTATTCAGAAAAACAAGCACAGGAGATAACAAAATTTAGCTTAATTTTAAGACTTTCCTCTACATCTGACCTCTTCAGTCTCAAGGACAGAACTCAGTTATGGAGTGTTAATCCTTCTCTGGCATTATCTAAGGAGCCATTTTGTGGCACATATGTAACCAATGAATAACCCTTGCACTACTAGTGTATGTGATGCTTCAATTCCATTAGATCCCTGGCCAGTTCATATTGACAGCTCATCTTGCAGATCACATGGGGGGGGGGGGACACATGTGCTAGCACAGTGGTTCTCAACCTGTGGGTCTCCAGATGTTTTGGCCTTCAGCTCCCAGAAATCCTAACAGCTGGTATACTGGCTGGGATTTCTGGGAGTTGTAGGCCAAAACACCTGGGGACCCACAGCTTGAGAACCACTGTGCTAGAAGAATACCATATTTATTTCTGCATTAGTAAAAGAAAAAGCAGAAAACCACCCAAAAAACTGGGTCAAGTTAAACATAGATTAATGCTGAAATAGAGGCACAACAGTGACAAGAGGCAGAGGCAAAAAGTGCCCATCTCAGCAATACTATTTTCTACCCATATCCCCCCACAACCCCTCAAATAAACAGATCCTGTCCTATTTAGTTATTCCTAAGCATGTTTAATCTATGTCTTTTTAAAAGGAGAGGAAAACATGTGTTTGTTATATGCCCCTACATTTTTCGTTTGACTTTTTCATAGGTTGAAGCAAAGTCCCTAATTTTGGCCCCAAAACATGTCCTTGACTTGTACATGAGGCTGATTTATTCTCAAGTACATACAATATATGTACATTTTTGTGTGTCTGGAAGTAATGCCTCCTACAGTGACAGCAAGTGACAAAATGTGTATTCCCACAATTTTAGGTGAGGTAACAACAGATGGAAACTCCCCATCAGCTGCTCAAATCCCATCCTGGGAGAAAGGAAGGATATAAATCCAATAAATAAATACATTTTGATTTGGAAATCAGATGCTAATTATGACTATTTTTGAAAGAAATGTCGGGGGGATAGATTTTCACTCCAAAAATTCAAAACTGGCTTGTGAACAAGGTTTCAACAACTCTAAAAAAAATTAAAACTACTCCAGGAGCACTTTTAGTTTCTGTTGTATCTGAATGAGGCTTGTCAGCAGAATAAAGAGAGCCAAGGACAAGCTAAGTTAACATTTCCATTGCCTAATTAGTTAAATTTAGAACACTGAAGTGTAACATACAAATACATACAATTCTAACAAATTAAGAACACAAAAATGTTACACATGTTTAACAGAAAAAATGAGATTTCCTTTACCAATGCTTGATTATACTTCTGTTAACTTCAAGATTAATTCTCTTGGCAGATGACAAATATTTCCTATAGTTGAACTATCCGAAGCAACAGCACTTAAAACTGGATTCTATGATTTCAAATCAAAAATAGGGTTGCAAGTTTCTCTTATTCTAAAACCTTAAGAAATAGTTGGATATTCACAAGTGGTCAATTTCTCTGAAACATTCTTCACCAGAAGCTCTGCATGGGTGTGTAGCTTGTGAATTAGGGAACAGTTTTTGACTCCAAGTTTTCAACATCTTGGCCCAAGTATTTATGTAACATTTTCCACCCCGGAGCATGTGCCAAGAATCTATGAATGGCAAAGACCTATATAAAGCCACCCACGTTCCTAACCAGTACACATTGAAATGAGGTATTTGTTAATACTCTTTCATACATAATGGTGCCATACTTTCACTGACCCAAGGAAGTGGACTGGATTCGAGCCTTGTGACACAAATCACGAATCGGTCCGGAAATACACGCAACTCTGTAAAATAAGAATGTGCAAAGATATCATGTACATGCTCAGATATTTTCCCCCTTTGGCAGTGAAACTTTTTGGTCTCCAAAGTAACTGATCAGTTATGTTTTAACAAACATTACATTTTGTTTTTTTCATTCAAAGCCAGATTTCCTTCCCTATTTACTCCTATTTGGATAGACAAGAACACTCTAGCAGAATAACCCTAAGGAGGATTTTTAAGCAAATCTAGTAGATTGAGAAAATGTTTTATAAGTTTATAAGAAGGAAATTATTCCGATCACTGGTTGTTGTTTTTTTAAGCTTAACTCTTAAATATTCTGAGTGGTTTGTTATGTCTGGCAATGTAAGACTTGATGTCACATCCTTGCAGAACTCCTAAGCTTAGGAAAGCATGAAACACAATAAGGTCCAATGACATCAACATGAAAGCAGCTTTATAGAAGCAGCCTGAACAAAAGTAGGTTCTTGCATCCACTTGTAGCGCTTTTTAACAATAGGCCTGACTCACAGGGCAACCTCTACTGAATCACTGGCCAGAGACTCGATAAAATGCTGAGTCTCCCCACTTTGCCAATGTGATGTGCATAATCCATTTCTCTGACTGCAGTTTGAAAAAAAAACTTTGGAAAATTCATGAGTTAGCATATATGGAGCACTATCATAGCACAACTATTTGTCCTGATCTGGTAAACATACGTGCAACCAAATACATTTCAGGGTGTGGGTTGCCCTTCAGGACCAGACTGTTGGCACATAATGAGATGCCCCACATATGGAACAAACTCTGCTTTTAGTGCCAAGAAACATTGTCTCTCTGATCTAGAGATACCTGCAGAAAAGACATCCCTGCACACTTGGTGCTGCTTATTGGCATATTCCCACCCCACTCCCTAATAAATAAATTCACTCATTTATTTAAAAGATTCATATCCTATCTTTTGAATGCGCCTCAAGGCAGTTTACAAGAGATTTAATCACATCCAAACCCACACAGCAGCTCTTCATCTTCCCTTCAGCAAATGCAGCCAAGTGTTTTCTGGCAGGGAGCAATGGGGAAGTGAGTTCCTTCAGCTGCTCCTATTCTGGCTGATGGGTGGGACCAGTCTCCTCTTACTGGGATAATTTTTGTGGAAGGTTGTAGGGAGCAGGGGATAGAATTGTTCCCTTTACACTACACAGTTGTGGCACTATGATTGCTTTTCAACTATGATGGGAGCTTGGAATTCTCAGGTTAATTTTCCATTTTATGAAGTAAAACTGAAGCATTTTCTGCAGAGTCCTCTGTAAACACTGCACTTCGTTCCTAACTGTGTAAATGAGTGGCATTCAGAAACTTTTTACTGTTGCCAATTTTGTCACCCTAACACTGAGCTAAGAGAACCCCATTGGGGCTAGGTCCCACAGTTTAAGAAGCAGAGCCCCAAACAACAAAATGACAGCTTACCACTATTTTGTTGTCCCCAAATGCATCGTAGATTGACCCATCTTTTGACAAAGTAGGCTTCAATGTAAAAGTCATCAGCTACAACAGAAAAGGAAGACAGGTTTATTTGATCTTGCTTTCACGTGGATATCACAGATTTATGAGGAAAGGTATCTGGACCAAAAAATCATACATGCATACTAAAGGAAATTAAAATACACCAAGTACACAATACACGGGAGGAGGAAAAAGAAGATTTGTATTGACCATTTTGAGATCAATCACCCAAACCAACATAAATTAAAACAAAAATAAGTAACAGTTGAAAGAGAAGATGGTTAATTCACTATCATTTCCCAAGAAACTTAGGATGCAAAGAGATATTGTAGCACCTTAAGGAATAATTGAGGGAACAAACACAAGCTTGCATAGATCAAGTCTACCTCCTCAGATAATAATAAATAATAATAAACTTTATTTATACCCTGCCACCATCTCCCCCAAAGGGCAGCTTACATAAGGCCAAGCCCAAACAACAAATTACAATAAAATAAAATGCAAATCACAATAAAATAAACAACATATACAATAAACAACATATACAAAACATTTTAAAAAGCAGTAAACCAAACACAGTGACAGTGAGCGGGCCGCATGTACATAAAATGATTTAAAAACTCAGAATGAGATAAAGAAGCAGAATTATTTGTAAGGGAGAAATCGTAGAGAGACAGGGCGATAGACAGACTTTTGTACAAGGGGGGGTGGTGTACTCCTAGTACAAGAATGTTGAGGGGAGGAATAGCTTAAGATTATGTGACTACTCTCCAAAAGCGCAACGGCAGAGCCAGGTCTTGAGATTCTTTTTAAAGGTTTCTAAAGTAGGGGCTTTCCTAACCTCTCCGGGCAATGAGTTCCAGAGTCAGGGGGCCAAAAAGGAGAAGGCTCTCTCCCTTGTACCCACAAGGCGAGTCTGAGAAACTGGCAAGGGCGAAAGGAGGGCCTCCCCTGAAGATCGGAGAGTTCGGGCTGGTTCATGGAGAGAAATAGGATAACGAAGGTCGGCGGGTCCCAAACAGTTTAGGGCTTTATAGGTAAGAACCTGTACCTTGAATTGGGACTGGAAAATGAACGGCAGCCAACGGAGCTCCTTAAACAGGGGGGTTGACTGCTCCCTGTAAGTTGCAGGTTTCCTAAATTGATTTAATGTATAAAAGCTTATGCTACTGACCTCGTTATCTAACTTAGTCTCTATAGGGCTATAAAATCCCTTTGCATACTATAATCCAGACAAACATGGCTATGGTTTTGAATGTTATATCTTAGTCAGGCAGTGAATGATCAATGTAACATAAGTCACAATATGGAAAGTTAAGACAAACCCTGGAAGCAGATTAAAGAATTGTGAAGCCATTTCTGAAAACAAAAATAAAATTACAGGGAAATATAGTCTGCCATCTTCATTGCAGCACTTACTGTTGGCACCTGATGAACTAGCTGTTTTGAGCATTTATTTCAGGCAAACAAAATTACTGCTAAATAGAAGGGTTTCCCATGGCCATTTCTTTATTTATAAAACATTCTGTTTTGTGAGCAACTCAATCAGTAAACAAATTGAATGGCACACAGTTCATGCTTCTTGGGTGGAATTTTGCACGAAACCACTCCTATATTTCATATGTATTTAAAGGAACTAATTTGCATGTCACTTACTTTACCCCACTATAACATCAAATTAAATATCATTAAGAAACTCCAAGCTTATCTCAGATAAGTACAGTGATAAGTAACACCCACTGTGTTTACTGAAACACTTGTTTCAATCACAGAGATGACAGACTACATGATACTTCAATCTGCTCTATTTTAAAAGAACAGAAATTCAACTATCAAGTTTCCTTGATATTTCAGTGATCTCCATAGAGCCATCTTCATTCACACTTTGTCTCCCATTAGGGCCAAATTATGATTAAAGATATATAATGGATATCTAGCCTTTAATCTCATTGAAAAGGTTCTCAAATTACCTTTCACCAGAAAGCATTATCCTACCCCTCTTCATCTACTTCGTGTGTTCCCTCACAAACACTTTGACAAAGGAGGTAGTTTTAGTCTGGAAAGCTTACAACAAGCTTGGACAAATGGATTTAAACATTTCTCTCTGTAATGAAACGGATTAATCTGAAGATCTGCAGTGGCAAGTTGAGTATCACTTATTCAAAATGGCTGGGACCAGACTTTTGGAATACCTCTATTGGCATATACATACATAATGAGATATATTGGAGATTGCACCCAAATCTAAAAAATGACATTCAGTAGTTCCCAACCATTGGTTCTCTAGGTGTTTTGGACTTCAGGTCCCACAATTCCTGACAGCTGGTAAGTTGGCTGGGATTTCTGAGAGTTGAAGTTCAAAACACTTGGAGGACCAAAAGTTGGGAACCACTAATATAAACCTTATACATATAGTATTTTAATAATGTTGTGCACACAACAAAGTTCGTGTACATTAAATAATTTGAAAACAAAGGTGTCACTACCTTACCCATCCATGTGGACAATTTCCAATTTGGAAATATTTCCAATTTTGGAATTTTGGATAAGGGATGTGCAACCTGTGTTCATTCTCAGTAGGAACACAGTCAGAAAATATCTAATTGGGAAGACAACAGAGCAATAGGAATGGGGTGTGCGTGTGTGAGAGAACTGTTTTGAATGCAGAATATTCTTCAGAAAAAGAGGTTTTTTTCACAGAATAGTTCCTGTGCAACATTTTGGGATAGTCAAATACAGGAAGAATACTGCACGGGAATGCTCATTTTCTCCCACTGAACATGAAAAGCTAATTTGTTTGTTATCACATGCATGAATAAAATATTCAAGTTACATCACTAGACTGGAATCATCCTAAATCATTAACCATTGTAAATGATCACTTGCAAACCCTTCTTTCAGGGTCATTCTACTCTTTTTTATGTCCTTCTGATCAATGCCTACAAAGGCTTCGGAATGTCTACATTTAGTAAGTGTCCTTGAATCCTTCAGAGGTCTCTCTATAACCCTTCAACAATGTTGTTTGTTGGTTTCACTAGCAAACGCTTTGCCTAATTTTTTGGAATTGCTTTCACACTCATCCCTAACTTCTGAAAAGTGTGGAGGAAAGGTTTTACTCTGGACAGCACCACCCAACACAGTCTGAAATCCATCTATCTCAATTCACATTCTCTTATCCCAACTGTGCTTTTGGATTTACCCAAATTTATACCAGAACAAAGAAAGTACCCACTTCCTATGTTCAGACAGAGAATTATGAAAAGCATAGCATTCCCCAATTTTTTTTTCTCACCATCAATCTTCTTTCTCAGACTGTATACTCTCTGGTTGGGAGCCATGTTACTCCTTTTCTATCTCTTCTAGAGACAGTACTCATAAAGTTAACAGTTTATCATTACATTGCCATTATATTTATTTTCTCCATAAAACGCAGCTTCTCAAGAACTCTGATCCCATCTCCACTGCTCTCTTGTGTACCTTACAAGTGCGCTCTGCTAATGAGACTATAAATAATCTGAGCTCTGGTTTTTTGTAGATAGTGCTAATTTTGGGGTCAGCTCTACTGACAAAGACTACATTTTGGAGGCATACAGCCAAGATCACATCTGATTTAAATTTCAACCTGTCGTTTTTGATTTGGAAGGACTTATTCTCTGGACATAGAAAAACAGTTTGCAGATGTGTACAGAGATGTGTGTCCTGAAATAGTTGGCTTTCTCTTTTGTTCAAATCTACTTGTCCTGTAACAAACAATTCTTTCAGGATGTCGGTGTTGTAATGACAACTATACTTGGAAACTGTCTGCCTCCCTATGTGAATTCCTCAGCTCCAGATTCCTCTTCTATGACTGGCTCCCCTAAGAAATTGGCACAAGTTGGCAGATCATAAAAATGCTGGCAGGCATTTTTATGGAAACCCATTTGAACAATCAAGCATTACTTTATTGTTCTAGGGTTAAAAATATCCACAAAAATAGTTATTAAAAGTTTCCATTAAGCTGGGTTTCTCATAGCTGCATAGAAGCTTGAGAGGAAAATATTGGGGGGGGGGGAGGCATTTAAAAAGCTTTCCTCTGGGAGTTGGAGCTCATTCAAATGATATAAATTTCACTTGGAAAAGTGCCTCAGAAGTGACAACCATAGACAAAGACCTTCATCTCTCTGGTTTACACCCCTGTGCCTGGAGATTAGAAAATTAATACAGTGGTTAATCAACAGCCTCACTTTGTTGAGTTAGTGTGCTTAGCTGGAATGGCACTAAATGGCTCATATTCCAGCAGCAGACATTTTAGTTAAAGGAACACATTCTAGAAGAAACAGCCATTGTGATGTTTAGTAGTAAACATGACTAAGGGAGTTGGGCCATCATAAAGGCTAACAATAACCACTAATTTCAAAGTCCTAGATGGGCATTTCATTAGATCAGGGCTTTTTCCACTTGTGACCCCTTTTGGCTAGAGAAATGTTCACGTGACACTGGGTATATAGGTATATACAATAGATATAAAAATCAAATATTTATTGATAACAAATCTGCATTAGCAAGGCTTGCCAAACAGGCTGATTTTCCTTTTTATGAAGTACAGCTGAAGCATCTTCTGCAGAATCCACTGTAAACACTGCACAACGTATTCGTGCAAATGTCTAGAACAGCCACTAGGTAATGTTCAGGAAACTTTTACTGTTGCCCAACTTTTGGGCCCCCAACATTGAGCTAAGACAACCCATCTGGGGTTGAGACCCACAGTGAATTAGATTGGGGCTGCTTACATTTTTTCCACTAACAATCTTTCCTCCCAATAAATTTCTACTCTATCCCCGGTATATATGTTTCTGCAGAGTCCACTGTAAACACTGGATGTTGTTGCTAACAGATTCCTGTAGAATCATAGAGTTAGAAGGGACCTCGTGAGCCATCAAGTCAAATCACCTGCCAAGAAGCAGGAAATCACATTCAAAGCAGCCCCCGACAGATGGCCATTCAACCTCTGTTTAAAAGCCTCAAAGAAGGAGCCTTCACCACACTGTGGGGGAGAGAGTTCA